AGCTGACCCTTGAAAAAGCAGCACTTAGGGGCACTGCCAACCGCCCACCTCACCGTCAAAAATCCACGTGTAACTTTGACTCTCCCAAAACTTAACTACTGATAACATAGTCAACACATTTTGTATGTTTTATGTACTACATTCTATATATTTTTTTTTTTTAAAGATTTTATTTATGTGAGAGAGAGACACAGCGAGAGAAGGAACACAAGCAGGGCGAGTGGGAGAGGGAGACGCAGGCTCTCCGCCGAACAGGGAGCCCGATGCGGGGGCTCGATCCCAGAACCCTGGGATCATGACCTGAGCCGAAGGCAGACGCTTAATGACTGAGCCACTCAGGTGCCCCTACATGCTATATTCTTATAATAACGTAAGCTATATAAAAGAAAATGTCATTAAGGAAGTTATAAGAGGGCACCTGAGTGGCTCAGTTGGTTAAGTGACTGCCTTGGGCTCAGGTCATGATCCGGAGTCCTGGGATCAAGTCCCGCATTGGTCACCCTGCTCAGCAAGGAGTCTGCTTCTCCCTCTGGCCCTCCCCCCTCTCATTCTCTCTCTCATTCTCTTTCTCTCAAATAAATAAGTAAAATCTTTTAAAAAAAGAAGAAAATTATAAGGAAAATACATTTATGGTATTGTACTGTATCGGAAAAAAAATCTATGTATAAGTGGACCTGTGCAATTCAAACCGGTGTTGTTCAAGGGTTAACGGTGTATGTCAGTGTCATGAAATACTTTAAATGAAAGGCTTTAAAAAAGGAACTTAACAAGAAAAGACTAAAAAGACTAAATGCAGAGTGTAATCTTGCACTTGATGTTGGATTGAACAAGAAATACAGCTATATAAAGAATATTGCTGGAATAACTTAAAATATTTGAGTAGAATCATATCTAGAGCTTTTTAAAATACAGGCTACAAAACTACCTGTTATTGGTCCAAAACAAGATGGGTGATACACAAAAGTTAAGTAAGTATTTAGAAATTTGTTTAGCCATTTGACAATGTCACGATAGTCAAGACATGATAGGTGGACTCACTGTATTAACCAGAATAGACCAATTTGGGTACTGTCACACTTGCAAGCTAGTCACATGTGACATGAGTGCATTAGTCATGCAAGGTGAGACATAATGCATATGATACTTTAGCGTTATTTTATCAAAACCCAAAAATGTGATAAAATGTAAGCATTTATTTTTATAAATTATTATTATTATTTTTTTTTTTTTTTTTAATTTGAGACAGAGAGAACGAGAGAGAGAGAGCACATGAGAGGGGGGAGGGTCAGAGGCAGAAGCAGGCTCCCCACCGAGCAGGGAGCCCGATGCGGGCAATGATCCCGGGACTCCAGGATCATGACCTGAGCCGAAGGCAGTTGCTTAACCAACTGAGCCACCCAGGCGCCCTATAAATTATTTTTAACAATCATTTTAATTGTTAACCAAGTGTGACTTTTTTTTTTTTTTAATTTATTTATTTGACACAGAGTGAGAGAGAGAGAGAGCATAAGCAGGGGGAGTGGCAGGCAGGCAGAGGGAGAAGCAGGCTCTCCGCTGAGCAAGGAGCCTGATGCGGGACTCGTTCCCAGGACTCTGGGATCATGACCTGAGCCGAAGGCAGCCGCCCAACCGACTGAGCCACGCAGGCGCCCCCAAGTTTGACCTTTTAAATTCATATTAACTGTTAACCAAGTGTGACTTTTAAAATTTATAGTTTAAAATTAGGAAAGTAAAATTGGTATTATTTTCTTAATCCTAATTTACTGATGACAAAACGAGCTCACGGGGGAGCCTGGGTGGCTCAGGCGTTACGCGTCTGCCTTCAGCTTAGGTCATGATCTTAGGGTCCTGGGACTGAGCCCTGCATCAGGCTCCCTGCTCAGTGGGGAGTCTGCTTTTCCCTCTCCCTCTGCCCCTCCCCCTGCCCTACTCATGCTTGTCCTCTCTCTCTCTCAAAAATAAATAAATAAAATCTTTAAAAAAATAAAAAAAAAGAGCTCACTGTATATATCTGTAAAGAAAACATCTTTTTCTGAATGCAGCAGTAGCAGCAAACCACATGATGATAATGGAAGTGAATCCAAAGAAACAAAGACCAACTGAGGTCAAACTGCTTTTACTACATGAGCCCTCACACAGAGTTTGGTTGTTGATCATGCAGTGCTAAAACCATAGTGAGTTAGTGAGTTCTTTGCAAATGTTTTGGCTAATGAAGCAACGAATTCATCAAAACTTCAGTGGCATTTACATACAAAACATAAAGAAATTCAAAATCAAAAGAATTCTTTGAAGAAAACAGTAGTGATCTAAAAAGCCAATAGAGGGGCACCTGGGTGGCTCAGTCGTTAAGCATCTGCCTTCAGCTCGGTCACGATCCCAGGGTCCTGGGATCGAGCCCCGCACCGGGCTCCCTGCTCAGCGGGGAGTCTGCTTTTCTCTCTCCCCCTGCCCCTCCCCCTGGTGCTTGCTATCTCTCTCTCTCTCTCTCAAATAAAGAAAATAAAATCTTGAAAAAATAAAAAATAAATAAAAATAAAAAGCCAATAGAAAGAGACACAAAATTCCATACATTAACATTAGTCTTCTGAGCAAGAAGCACTTTTGGTTGCTAACTAAAAAAAATAAACTACTGTCAAGATATTAGGAGAAGAGTGTATCAAAGATGTCTGCTTGGAGAGCTTGGTGTATCTGTGACAAAGAAGGTGATTCAAGTGCAACATTCCAGTGATGCCGCAGCTTGACGTCCTCAGAATCTAGCTTATGAGAGTGAGAACGATAATCAAATTAACAAAATGTTTTCTCAATGCAATGTGAAGAATGCCAGGTTATTACCAACATAAAAATTATCATGATATATGTGTGATTTAAACATGACGGTTATACGAAGGATTCTTTTATCAGTTTCTGGCTGACAAACATAACTGACACTGATCTGTAAAGAAATCCAGAATTACATTGTCAACAAATGAAATGTGATTTGCAGCTTAAGTGTATTCAAGAGTATAGTCTAACAGCACACATGCAAGACAGGAAAACAGATTAGATTAAGGAGCTGGTGCTAGAACATAAAATTAACACACTGCTTCCTTACCGAGAAAAATCTTGCCACAAAACAAACAACCCCACTGTTCTTAGTATAGTAGTAAAAACTATAAATTATGTAAGACTAATGCATTACATTTTTCAATGACTATCTTTATATGTGATAAGCTGAAAGCTGACCATAAATGTGCACGTGTTACATTGCATGCTGAGGTACCATGGTTATGCAAGGGAAAAATGCTGTTAAGAACGATGAGCTTTAGGGGCGCCTGGGTGGCTCAGTCGTTAAGCGTCTGCCTTCGGCTCAGCTCATGATCCCAGGATCCCGGGATCGAGCCCTACATCAGGCTCCCTGCTCTGCAGGAAAGTCTGCTTCTCCCTCTCCCACTCCCCCTGCTTGTGTTCCCTCTCTCGCTGTGTCTCTCTCTGTCAGATAAATAAATAAAGTCTTTAAAAGAAAAAAAAAAAAAGAATGGTGAGCTTTGGAATAAACTCAGTGTCTTTAAAAGAAAAAAACCATGGGGCGCCTGGGTGGCTCAGTCGGTTAAGCGTCTGCCTTCGGCTCAGGTCATGATCCCAGGATCTTGGGATCGAGCCCCGCATCGGGCTCCCTGCTTGGCAGGAAGCCTGCTTCTCCCTCTCCCACTCCCCCTGCTTGTGTCCCCTCTCTCACTGTCTCTCTCTCTGTGTCAAATAAATAACAAAATCTTAAAAAAAAAAAGAAAAAAACAGTTGGGTCTCCAATTTTAAAGGTCTTAATTAGACAGTAAAACTTGGCTTATTTTTCTGATCTTTGGTATTTTTAATAATCTTAGAGTACTTCCATGGAAGGAAATGATTCAACATGTTTTTCAGTAGCAAATAAATTACCAGGGTAAAAATGAAAGCTAGAAGCCTGGAGGAACAGAGTCTCTACAGATCAACATGTTTCAGGGAATGTTTTGAATTCCATTTCATATCAAAAGAATATCCACACAGAGGGAATTCATGCATGCAGAATTCCTTGTTTCCACTGAAATCTAACTTAATTACAACTTGACAGGATAAACTGTTGGAACTGGTTACTGATGAAGCACTGAAGATGAACTTTGAAACTATGGTATCACTGGCTTCATTTTGCATAAAAGTAAAAGTAAAAATCTTGAACTTACTGAAACAGCTTTAAAATCTTTATTTCCATCCTCACGAAAATATCTCTGTGAGATGGGTTTATGATGAGTGTTATTTAAAAAAAAAAGTGTTATTAAAAAACAAAGAAAACCAACACAAATGTACTTAAATAAATAACATCTTTTAGAAAAAATTACTGCCAAGGAAAATGTGACTCCCTATAAAATTATTGATTGATTGGCACCTTATCTGTTCCCAGTTAGCTCCAATTTATAGATCTGCTGTTTTCAAGTAATGAAATTTAAATAAATGGAGAAGAGGAAATTCTAGGCATGTGGCTCTTACCTAGAACAGCCAGGAGGTTATTAAGTCTTTACTGTTTTTTTAAAGTGATAACAAACCTATGAATCAACTGAAAAAATAATACCAACGTCAGGAAATAATACAGGAACCAAATTTCTCTCCTAGTACTTTCAATTTTTACCTGATTTTAGGGGCCTCCGTGGGGCTCAGACTTCACAGGTAAGAAAAGTAATAAAGGGAGAAATGACTCAGCCAAAGTCACAAAGCATGACAACAAGCGGAACCAAATACTTAACTCTTATATTTTCTGATTTCTACTCAGCCAAACACTTCATGATACCCACAACTACATCACTGTACATGAAAGGATCTTTCCTCCTATGCTCCCTGATAATTCATGGGGCCACCGTTTTCCTGGAGTAAAAAAGAGAACTCTTCCAAAATATTATGATGATAGGATGGAATGAGGACAGATGGCCCACACCATTTAGAAAGATGCTCATTTTTAAAAGAACTAGTTTTGAAGTTTGTGAAGGTCACCTTACCTGACTTCTTCACCAGCAAAATCAAACACCCTAGTGATTTTAACTTTTTCAGCTTCTTTTGGTTTCTCAAGCTCTTCTGCTCTGACCAACAATTTACTTGAACTTGTCTCTTCAGTCTTCTCTCCTCTCTATTAAATAGGTAAGAAATGCAATCAGTTTCACATGAGGATGAAACCTAAGAGAACCATCCCAACATTCTATTTACGGCTATTCTTCAATGTTTCATCTCTAAACAATTCAAGACCTATCAGAATTTATTTGATTAGAAAGGCTTACTTTTCCTACCATAGGGAATGCTTTGCTTTTCACTTGAGTTATTATCAAAAGGCATCTAGTTTGATTTCTGCTGTAAGCATCAAATCTCGTTTTGGAAATAAAAACGTCTATCTGGGGAACTTAGGCTATTTCCGGGGAAGCCTACATCTCATTCGGTGATCAACTTACGTTAACATGTGTACTTGGGGGCATTTTTGGTTTTGGTCCCACATCATTGAGGAAGCTGGCCCATAACTCATCCTCCTTCTTCTTCCTTGCATCCTCTGACCCCATGCCTTTCTCCTGCTCTGCAGCTTCATCTTCCTCCTCACTGCTACTTCCCTCGGATTCCTCGTTGGCATCCTCTTCCTCTTCTTCTTCTAATGAGAGGCCACCTTGTTTTTTCTTCCTAATCACCAAGAGTCACAAGAAAAAGGAGAGACGACACAGATAACGTAAAATGACTTCAGCTACCCCTTCCTCAATTCCAAACATAATGTTGCAAACCTGAGAAAACTAAAATCTGGGGACTACTGATTAACACCCACCCAAGGGGGAAGCAGGGGAGGTAAGCTGAGATTTTGTCGAAGAAAACAAGAATGGAGCTCTTACAGCTAGCAATTTCCCCCCAAACACTTAGAATCAAAATATAGTGTTCTACCTCTAAGTCAGGACCAGCTATTTTCACCAAGAAAACACCCAAAAACCACCTCGCTGAATCAATCTGCCCAGAAAGTGTGTTCCAAGAATAAACACTATAATTGGAGAACATGTTCTATTAAGGAGAGCCTCAAATTTATTTGCACTGTTTCTTCCCAGAGTTCTCGGGGGGGGGGGGCGGGGGGGAGGGAGGGAACCCATGTTTTTTCCCCACTTCCTGAAAATTTGAAAGTTGGAATACAGAAAAACTCAAGGACAAAAGAGCTGGGCCCAAGACCTAAAAGAGTAAATTGTTTCTTCGTCTATCTTGACTTCAAGTGAATCATCTAATACCTAAAATTCTTTTTTCCCTTTTTATAAACTATAACCTGCTTTTTTGCTTCAATGCCCAAAAAACAGAAACACCAATCAAAAATAGGTAAAAGACTTTCATGGAAGCGTTTCTTATCCGAGCTAGTTAACCTGTCAGAATTTTCATAATGGGGGAGGAGGGTAGTGTAATTCAGTACCAGGTCTATGGAAAGTAATTTGCTAACATTTATGAAAATTTTTTTTACTGCAGTAACTCTGTATCAAACAATTCTACTTCTATAAATCTGATTTACACATACACTTGTACCTGTATACAACGCCATAACAAAGAGTATTCACTGCAGTTTTGTTTGTTGTAGTAAAGACAGGTATAATCTCAATGTCCCTCAATAAGGGAATGTGTAAACAATGCAAGACGTCGCCCTATAACGTAACATCACGCAGTCACTGGAAAGAGTGAGGTAGAGCTGTATGTACTGCCATGGTACACATCTCCAGGAAGTGAGAGAAAATGAGAACCTATAAGCAGAGGATGCCACTCTGTTTTGGAGGGAGTTTTTTGTTTTTTTAAAGAGTAGGAAATATACACCTACATACACACACGAACCATCTCTGGCAACATAGTTCTTCTGAGGCAAAGCAACAAGGGATATCGAAGGTACACATTTTTGCAGTAAATGGGTTTTTAATTTTTACCAAGTGTACATGATACCTATTAATTTTTTTTTTTTAATTAAAGCTCAAAAACTTTTAAAGCTTGCCCAAGACTGAGAATTGAATCCTAAAATGTCACCAAATGTTTCCCTTGAATAGACAAAGGTAAGAAACCCTGGTAGGAAGAACTCATGAGACCAATCCCAGCCATCTGGATACTGTGACAATAGCCCCTGACTTCTAAGGGCCTCGAGGGCAGCATCACCTGGCCGGAATGCTCTGAGCCTTTCTTTTTTTCCCTTTGGTTTTCTGTGTCTGCTCTTCACCATCCACTTCATCTTCCTTCACTAATTCATTTACATCATCTTCACTATACTCTCCACCTGAAATCACATAATAGAGTGGTCAGACATACAGGAATAAAGGTTTTCACATCAAGATAAGACATTTTCAATAAAAATAAAGTCTAGTACTTTCCTCTGTTCTTCGTCTAACTAAAATATCATTTCCTTAGGGAGGTTTCCCCATCTCTGAAGACTAGGCTAAGCTACCCTATTCTAGGCTTCCATGACAGTCCATATTTCCCTCTATAAATGTACCTACTTATATTTAATGTTTGCAATTTCTGCTATGCTCTACATACCATGAGGACATGGATCTTGTTTGTTAAGGATGTGCTGAATGAATGAATGAAGAGAAATTCGAATTCTACTACTATACTGTTCAAAGAAAAAATTACTGTTCCCACTGTATCTTGGATATCTTTCAAAAGTAATCAAAAGAGACCTTGAGAAAAAAGATATATAAAGACTTCCAGTTAGACACAGCAGAAAGAACAAATATGCCTAGTTCCCATCTTCAGATACTAACATTCAGGGGTCCCCAACAAGAGGGCGTTACCCAGACGCCCAGGATAACTACACTCTGTGGGCACCAGTCAATAAATCCTGTCCACATAGAGATTCAACTAGGTTCTTTCTTTTTTACTTCATGTAGACTTTTATTTGAAGTATAATACACACACTGAAGAACACACAACATACAGCTCAATGAAATTACACAAAGTGAACACATTTGTATAACCAGGCCCAGCTCAAGAACCAGAACATGAACCAGCATCCCAGAAGGCCCCTCATGCCCCGTTCCAGGCATCAGCCACCACCCTATCCAAGAGCTATCCTGACTCCGAGTATCAGAGATTAGGTTTGTCTCTTTTTGACCCTTAAACAAACAGAAGTCTACAAAATACACTCTGAAGTGTCTGGCTTTTTTCACTCAACATTCTTTGTTGGTCACCCATACTGCTCATTGTAGCTCTAGTTTATTCACTCTCATTCCAAAATAGTGTTTCATTGCACGACTGTACCACACTGTATTTATCCATTCTGCTGATGAACATTTAGGTTGTTTCCAGTTTGGGGCTATTACAAATAGTTCTGTTTTGAATATTCCTGTACATCCAACCAGCTTCTAAATATTTCACTCACAATGAACCAAGAGGCCACCAAACACTTGAGGAAAGCCTCCAATATGAAAGGCAAGACAGAAAAACAAGAAAGGAATTCAGGGGAAATAGAATTTAAAAAAACCCAACAAAACCCTTTATAATTAATATCCTCTAAAGAGATAAGAGAAAGTATGGCATTCATTAAATAGTGACTTAAACATTTTTCAAAAAACTTTAAATAATTTTAAAAACTCTTGAAAACTACAAATATGATGGCAGAGATTTAAAAAAAGAACAAAGTTGATGAGAAGGAGCCAGTCATGTGAAAATACACAGAATACACATTCAAGGCTGAATACCACAAACCAAGTGATAAATGAAAGTGTTTCCTGAACAAAGGACTGAGTTCCAGGCTAAGATGGCAGTCTGAAGGCACAAATGTCATTTTGCTTCCCCTGAAACCCCAGTAAAATCACGGCAGCAAAAAAACTTTTAAAAAGCACAAACCTACAAGCTAAGTAGGCATATAGCTGCATTGTATTTGTTTATATTTGCAAAAAGCAACACTGGAAGGATAAGCAAAATACTAATGAAATAGGTGCCTTATAAGGGTCAGGGTAGAACAGAGTGGGATAGTCAGGGGTAGAAGCAAGAATTCTCTGTTCATCTTTCCTAAGAATTTTGAAAAGCCCTTAAATTAAGAACAGTTTGAATAAACAAATACTTGTTTGAAAAAATAACTGTGAACCCAAACAATAACAAAACTGACAAAGAAAGGATTTATTCCAAGGACTTCAGAAACAGTATTTTGACTATACACCCTTAGCAAGACCCATTGCAAAGACAAAAAATAAACAAAAAACAACAACTCTATTCTGTGTAGTAATGTTCGTATTTTGTTTTGTTTTTTCCTTTTAATTTTATTTATTTATTTGAGAGAGAGAAAGAGAACATGGGGGGAGCAGAAGGACAGGGAGAAGCAGGGTCCCCACTGAGTAGGGAGCCGGATGTGGAACTCGATCCTAGGACCCTGAGATCATGACCTGAGCCAAAGGCAGACTTAACCGACTGAGCCACCCAGGTGCCCAATGCTGATATTTTGAAACTATTTCCTTTATATAACAGGTTAAAGCAAGTAAGTACTATGTTAATCATGTCAGGGATCCAGATCTTCAGAGTAAGAGAAATGACACATGATTATAAAATCAAAGAAATTAGATGAAAATTCAAATGTTAAAACTGAACTAAAAATATCAATATGAGGGGTGCCTGGCTGGCTCAGTAGGTAGAGCATGCAACTTTTGATCTCAGGGTTGTAAATTCAAGCCCCGTGCTGGGTGTAAAGATTACTTAAAAAATCAAATCTTTAAAAAAAAAAAAGAAAGTATCAATATGAACTCTCTTTTTAAGATAAACATTTTCTAGTTCTGTTCACTGAAATGGCAAAGAAACAATGTCACTTTGGTGGCAATGAGCATCTCTTCAGAGTCCGGACTATGTACCTCGATATGATTCATCATGAAAAGGGCTCCCAGCCAATTTCAGGTTTGAAGGAAGGAAAGCACAAGGTGAAACTGGGACATCCTGCTGTGTCAGAAAGCAAGGAAGTTATTTAAGAATACAGGGTCACATTAAAACGATGTAAGATCCAGCTTGAAAGAACTCCTAGTGGCCAAAACTGGTAACTTGAGCATTAAAAGGAGTAACTGTTAGTTGACTAAAACACATTGAAACAATAAAAATCTATAAGCTCTTTGTGATATTTTTTTAAAAAGACAAAAAGTAATTTGCACTGGGGTGCCTGGGTGGCTCAGTCGGTTAAGCATCTGCCTCCGGCTCAGGTCATGATCCCTGGGTTCTGGGACTGAGCCTCGTGTCTGGCTCCCTGCTCAGCGGGGAACCTGCTGCTCCCTTTCCCTCTGCCCCTCCCCCTGCCTGTTCTCTCTCTCTCAAATAAATAAATAATTTTAAAATCTTTAAAAAAATAATAATTTATACTTCTTAAAGCTACTATTAAAATTATTCCCTACTTTGAAAGTTAATAATTAAAGAAAATGAATTAAACACTTATCCTTTCCCAATTGATGAGGGAAAGCAATACTTTACAGAAGAACATCAACTAATAAATGTAGAAACACCACAGAATTAGAAAAATACCACTTTTCACACTGTAATGATAGTAATTTAGGCAAGGATTATCAAGTAATGTTTTCAAAAAATGAAGTTTTAACCATTAAGTATTACACAGAATACTTCAGTTCCAAGGGAAGAAATTACACAATAGAGGGATCAGACTCTAATCCCCTGAATCCGGTAGTCGCAACTATGGGAACGAACCTGGGGTTGCATGTCTTTCGATGTTATGCATTATGAAACACACAGTCATCTATAAGGTATTCTAGCTAAAAATATTTCATCTGAACCCATCGAGCATTTAGATCTAACTTCCAGAAATTTCAGAACTTCAGAATTCCAGTAATTTCAGAATTACAGAAAATTCAAAGGACAAAGGAACAACCTAAAATACAGGGAGGGAGCGATCAGACAAATCCAGAAGGTGAGACATTCTGCAGGACATACCTGCTTGATCTCTTAGGCAAATCAATGTCATTACAGAGCATGCTAGATTAAAACAAATTTAAAGGATGGGACAACTAGATGATATGGGTAGTCCTGAACCTAACCGTGATTTGGATAAACAAGCTATATAGTCTATTCTGGGTCAAGTGGGAAAATCTGAATAAGGTCTGTATATAAGATGAGTCCAAAGTTTACTGAAATGAACAGAGAGATTGTTCACTGAAAAGAGCAGGTCACAAAGTAACAGAAAAAGTATGATTTCAGGTTGAGGTTAAAATACAAGTATCTATACCTGGGTGTAGAAAAAGAGTTCACTAAAGGATTCACTAAAGGATTAATACTGATAATGCAATGATTCTATTTTTTGATGCTTAACTGTCTGAATTTTCTAATTTTCTACAAAGCTCACACACTACTTTTGTAGTAATATAAGGTTATTTTTCACCATTAAAATGGGCAAATGTTGCAAACAGTTCAGACAAGGAGAAAAATATGGCTCTGGATCTCACATATGTAAAAAATGATCAGTTCCATTGATAAGAGATAAGCAAATTTTAAATTATACACATGCACAAAATGATCAAATTCCATGCAGTTACTTTGACAAAAAAAAAAAGCAAAATAACGTCCCTGTAGATAATAACAAAGAACAAAATGAACATATCTTGTCCAAAGACTCAGAGCTTCCAATCACCTTTTTAGTCCTCCATGCTTAAACATGAGCCAAACAACTAAGAACCACTGAAAATCTGAGGAAGTATCTAACAAAACCAAAATACAGGGTGAACAAAAATCACCTTGGAGAAATGTTTCCTCATGTCATGAGGCTAGCAGTATCTGATACTAAAACAAAACAAGGAAATTACAAGACAACTACAGACCAACATCCCTCATATACAGATGCAAAAATTCTCAACAAAATACTAGGAAACAAAATTCAGCAATGTAAACAAAGACTTTATTATTTATTTTGGAGGGGGAGAGCAGGTAAGCAGTAGGAGGAGCAGAGGGGGAGGGAGAAGGGGGAGGCAGAAAGAATCTCAAGCAGACTCCATGCTGAGCGTGGAACCCAATGTGGGGCTGGATCTCACGACCCTGAGATCATGACCTGAGCCGAAATCAAGAGTTGGACACTTAATCGACTAAGCCACCCAGGTGCCCCAGCAATGTATAAAAAGAATAATACAGCATGACCAAATGAGTTTTATCCCAAAAATAAAAGGCTGTTCAAAATTTAAAAAGCAATCACTGTAATTCACTGTATTTTTTTTTTAAGATTTTATCTATTTATTTGACAGAGAGAGACAGCGAGAGAGGGAACACAAGCAGGGGGAGTAGGAGAGGGAGAAGCAGGCTTCCTGCTGAGCAGGGAGCCCGACGCGGGGCTCGATCCCAGGACCCTGGGATCATGACCTGAGCCGAAGGCAGACGCTTAACGAATGAGCCACCCAGGCGCCCTGTAATTCACCGTATTAACAGGAAGAAAAATCATACAAAATCCTATCAACAGATGGAGGAAAAGCATTTGACAAAATTTGCCTCTCAGCAAATCAAGAGTAGAGGGAACGTCTTTAAGCTGATAAAATGCATCGGTGAGGAGCAGTATACCCAGACTGCCAGGGTTCAAATCCCAGCTCAGCTACTCTATAGCTGAATGATTTTGAGCAACTTGCTTTAATTCTCTGTGCCTCAATTTCTTTGTCTGCAAAATGAAGAGAATAGCACATACTCAGTAGTGAGTGAGCTAGTAATGTATTAGTCAATGTAAAGGACTTAAAACATGCACACACAAAAGGCATCTGTAACCCATAGCTAACATACTAAATAGTGAAATACTGATCATTTCCTCTTAAAGTTGGGAACCAGGCAAGGATGTCCACTCTCACCACTCCTTCAACGTCATACTGGAAGTCTTACCAAGAGCAGTGAAGCAAGCAATAGAAACAAAAGACATACCTACTGGAAAAGAAGAAATAAAACTGTTTCTATTCAGACATCATGGTCTATGTTTTATTTGGGGGGGGTGGCCTTGGAACTGTTAATTTTGGTGATGATCACTCAACTCTAAGCATTTATCAAAACTGACAGAACAGTACACTGAAAAGAATAAATTTTACTGTATGTAAGTTAAACACTGAAAAATTTAAATTAGTATTAATATCCACAGAGCAATAAGCTACTTCACTATGAAATGAGAACATGTTGCTATAAAAAATGACTAAGGGAGAAAAAAGTTATTCAAACTTAAAAATATCAAAGGAGGAAAAAAATACAAGAGTTGAAGATACTGAGAATTTTCCATGGAGTGGAAAAAAGTCAAGAGTTAGAAAATAGAATGATAAAATTAGAGGGCCAGTCCAGAAGATCTAACGTAAGATTCAACATCTGAATAATGAGGTTTCCAGAAAAATAACAGAAAATGAAAAAAGGAAATTACCTCTCTCCAAAAGTTCCAGAAACCTAGCACAATGGATGAGAACAGACTCATACCACGGTATATCATTGTGAAATATCGGAAAAATCAGGAATAAAGAGAAGATTCTATCAGTTTCCAAAGATAAACCGATATATAAATAAACAGAAATCAGCAAAACAGACTTCTTAATAGAAACACTGGAAGCTAGCAAGTAATAAAACAACACCCTTAACATTCTGATGGAAAGCTATCATTACCATTACCATATCATTATAAAGCCTAAAATTATTATTACAAAACACAGAATTCTATACCAGACAAAGTATCAATTATGGCCTGGGGTCACACAGTTATCTTTAGAAATACTGTTTTGACACCTTGAATGTCTATTATACATCATCTGTCCTTGAGTAGTTGAGAATTTATTCTCATTTTGGTGGAACACGCCAAGAAAAAAAGGTAACACAGGACCCAAGAAACGGAATCCAACAGAAAAGGGAGATAAGTGGAACACCCAGAGTGGTGATGGTGACAAAAGATCCTAGGTTTAAAAGTGATAAAACCAAGGCAAACTGGAGGTCAGAAGGCAAAGATTGGACTTCAACATGAAAGTAAACGACTCTTTAATGAATCTGATTGCCTTGGGAGATGATTTACACAATTCTGAGAGTTTAGAGTCAAATTAATAGTAAGGACATAGACAACTAAGCAACGACAAATGGCAATTATTAATTCCACACAGAACAAGTTGTGTAGGAAAGGAATCACAGTATATGCCACATGGTTCAGACCTGAATGTGTGCATTACAAAAAAGTAAACTTGGAATACTGATCTAACCAAAACTGGACATGGTAACAATGGCAGGCTGGGGAGCTGGGGAGGGCCTGAGGGTGGAAGGATGTGTGTTGGGAATGATCGGGATGACCTAAGAAGGTATTAAAATAACACCTACCGAGCATGGGTTAAGTCAACATAAAATGAAAATACCAAATTAAAAAGTGGAAAGCAGTTTCTCCTGAGGAGGAATGAACAGGGATGCAGGGTGATGGGACCTGTTAGTTTTCAAAACAAGGCTTTTAGAAATAATTGACCTTTTTTTTTTTTTTTTTAAGATTTATTTACTCATTTTAGAGATGGAGGGAGGGTCGGAGAGAATCTTAAGCAGGCTCCACCCCTAGCATGGCGCCCAACCTTGGCTCAATCTCACCACCCTGAGATCACGACCTGAGCCAAAATCAAGAGTCCCACCCTTAACGGACTGAGCCACCCAGGCGCCCCTGACTATGTTTAAGTATGGGTATGCACAACTTTGATTAAAATGAAAACTAGTTTTCAAATAACCACTCTGGCCATTACCATAAAACCAACGTTGGTGGCCAACAATGGAAACGGAATCAGGGAAACCAGCTGGGAAGCTATGGATAATCCTAGTGAAGAAAAACGGCAGTTCAGTAACAGGGAGATGGACAAGGAAGCGGTCAGAAACCGACTTCTCACGTGGACACAACAGAACTTACCAACTGCTTGAACCAAAAGAGAGAAAATAAAAATGAATGATTCCTAGGGTTTTTGTTTTGTTTTTCCCCTGAGCGACTGTATGGATACTTTAAGTGAGATGGACAGCCTGGGGAAGGCGCACGATTGCGGAAGGGGTAGGTTTGAGTGACAAGATTTATTTTGGCCCCCTTTAGTTTGAGAAACCTATACCAAAGACAGAGACACCTGAAAAAAGAGGACTAGGTATACGTCGCAAAGCGACAAAATGCATCATCCGATGAACTTTCTAATAACCATGCGAGGGCATACGGTGGATAGATTCATCTTGGACGTAGTGCTAGCGAGCAAGTCCCTCGGGACGGAAGGTCTAACGATAACGTCCAACGCTCACACTGCCTTTCAGAAGACCCGAGCGCCGGTGCAGTCGGCCCGGCTACCGACCGACACCGACAGCATCCCCAGAGGCGGGCGGTGTTCACGTGCGGGTTCCCGCGCTCCGAGAGGGGGCGGCGGCCCGAGGCAGGCCGCGGGCGTCGGCTGCGCGAGATTCCCCCGCGCACACGTCTCGGCCCGGGGCTACCGCGCGGACGGAGCAGGCGGGCGAGGAACCGGGGCTTGCACGGCGGGGCCGCTCGAGACCCGCGCCGCCGGGGCCACCGGGGCTCCCGGGCCACGCACGCCGGGCCGAGCGCGCCTCACGTGAAGCGCGGGGCGGAGCAAGGCTCCTCTCGTCTCCGGCCGAATCGCTCACCCGACGGCACGTAGTCTTCGTCCTCCTCCGAGGTGGAGAAGTCTTCAGAGTCGAATTCCTCCATGTCGCTGCCGCGCGGAGCGGGCGGAGCCACAGGACCTCAGCAGCTGCCCCAAACGGTAAAGCTCTAGGGAGAGACCATAGAGCTGCAGCGGGGGTGGGGGCGGCGGGGACGGCTGGGGCGGGGCCCCCACCCCGCAACGTGTGCGCATGCGCAGAGAGTTCTGCGTAGTCCAAACGCGACATTTCCGGGCCAATGCCTCGCGCCTGGCGGTACTGTAGTGGTCGACAGCGCATGGACTCCGCCGCTGGAGCGGTGCATGCTGGAACTTGTAGTCTTCAGCACCGTCCGGTCGCTCTGATTTAATAAATGTGCTTAAACAGAATTACATGTGTATGGCGATACAGTTGACCTTCGTTATTCACAGGTTGGTATTTTCGAATTCGCTTACTTGTTTAAACTTACTATAACCCCAAAAATCAATATTCGCGGTGCTTTCTGGGGTTATTCGCGGACATGCGCAGAGGGTGAAACTCTTGAGGCAACCAACGGTGCGGTATACGTGCTGAGGTTGAACAACGCAGACACAATGAGCTTTCCTGCTTCGTCTGTCATGCTGTAAATAATTGTCCTTTTCGCAGTCTATTCAGGGGCACGTTTTTTGCATTTTTGTGCTTTTTGGTGGTGATTTCGCTGTTTAAAATGACCCCCAAGCGTAGTGGTGAAGTCCTGCCTAGTGCTCCTAAGCGCAAGAAGGCCGTGATGTGCCTTATGGAGAAAATACGTGTGTTAGATAAACTTCGTTCAGGCGTGAGTTGTAGTGCTGTTGGCCGTGAGTTCAATGTTAATGAATCAACAATCCGGTACATCAAGAAAAAGGAAGAGGAAATTCGTCGATCTGTACGTGAGGCTGCTCTGGAAAGTGCTCAAGTAACGTCTATAGTGCGCGAGGAAGCAATGGAAAAGATGGAAAAGCGGCTAAATTTATGGATTCATGAGATGACAACCGATAAAAAAGGCGTGGTGGACAGCATTGTCGTGAGGCTGAAAGCCAAAGAAATTTATGGTCACGTTACCCAGGGCCAGAAAAATGTTAAACCTTTCTCCGCCAGCGCTGGCTGGCTTGCACGTTTCAAAAAGCGGTATGGTGTGAACAGTGTTAAACTCGCAGGTGAGGCAAGTTGTGCACATCAGGAGGCTGCAGACGAGTTTAAAAAATACTTGCTGAGTGTTATACGGGAGAAAGGATATGTGGAAGAGCAGGTTTTCAATGCTGATGAGACTGGCTTATTTTACAAGGACGTTGGCAAAAGAACCTATATAACGCAAATGGCCTGCAAAGCCCCTGGCTTTAAATCTTTCCAAGACTATGCAACCTTGCTCTTGTGTACCAATGCCAAGGGCGACTTCAAGTGCAAACCCCTAATAGTATACAGAGCCCAGAATCCACCAGCACTGACAGGCAAAAGCGTGAACCATATGCCAGTGCATTGGAGGTGGAGCAAAAAAGCGTGGATGACATCTGATTGGTTCCATAACTGCTTCATACCGGAAGTTGAATGCTATCTCCAGGGCAGAAACCTTGCCTTCAAGGTTTTATTAATTTTGGATAATGCCCCAGTCCATTGCTGTGAAGAACTCAAAAATGCCCACCCCAGCGTGGAAGTTCTTTTCATGCCCCCAAACACTACATCTCTCATCCAACCCCTGGATCAGGGGATAATAAAAGCTTTCAAGGCACACTATACCCGGGAGCTTTATAGCAAGGCTTTTGAGGCTCTCAAGTCCAACACGGAGACTACCATGTTGGACTATTGGAAGTCAGTCACTCTGAGCAACGTTATTGATTATGTTGGGACAGCCTGGGACAGCATCAAACAAGCTACTATCAATAGCTGTTGGAAAAATGTTTGGCCAGACTGTGTGCAAGATTTTGAAGGCTTTGAAGGTGTTACAGAAAGTATAAACGACAGTGTCAAAAATATAATGCACATTGCATGGCAAATAAGTGGGGAAGGCTTTGATGACATGAAGGAGGAAGACATGGAGGAAATTCTGGCAGAAAAGGCAGTAGAACCCACCAGCAAAGACCTGGATGAGATGGCAAAACAAGGCATTGGAGTCGGCAATGATGAGGATGAACATGAAAGCCAGCCTACAGCTTCAAGAATTGACCCTCTTACAGTGACTAAAATATCAGAATGGAATTCTGCCTTGGAAAGAATTTTCAATGACATGGAAGAGTGCGACCCTATGCTCAATCGCAGCCTCAAATTTAAGTGCCTCACCTCCACGGCATTTGCCCCTTATTCCAAGATGCTTAAAGATTTGAGGCAAAAAGCCAAGCAGATGAGGCTGACCCAATTTTTCAGGCCGGTTTGGAGGGAAAGTTGCCGACTCCATCAACAAGTCATGAGAGGCAAACTCCTGAGGTTGAACTGCCAAATGTGGACATGCTGCCCTCTTCCTCTTCTGCAGAATAAATTCCACCTACCTCTTCCTTGGTTTTCGTGAGCGTTGGTGGTATAGTGGTGAGCATAGCTGCCTTCCTTGGTTTTCGTGAGGCAAGCCAAGGTCAAGAGGTTTACCCACACTGTGCTGCACCATCACACATCGTGCCGTTCCATCAACAGTAAGGTTCTAGTTAACGTTTTCATGAAATCTCTAATTTTTTCAGGACTCTATTTGCATTACTGTGTGGTATAACAGTATGTGTTCACAGTACTCTGTGTTTATGTGAGTATCGTATGTTATCCTGTGTGTTTACTACATGTACTATATACGTGTACTGCCTGTGTGCATATGACTGAGGGAAAGAGTTAATACAGTCGCAGTATTGTGAAGGACATTACACAAAAATGCTATAATTGAAATATTGTTTTATTATGAAGAAATACTGCACATAACTATTTTAAGAAAGATGTATTTAAAAGGGTGTCTTTGGGGCGCCTGGGTGGCTCAGTTGGTTGGGCGACTGCCTTCGGCTCAGGTCATGATCCTGGAGTCCCTGGATCGAGTCCCACGTTGGGCTCCCTGCTCGGCAGGGAGCCTGCTTCTCCCTCTGACCCTCCCGACCCTCCCCCCTCTCATGTGCTCTTTCAGTCTCTCTCTCTCAAATAAATAAATAAAATCTTTAAAAAAATAAATAAATAAAAGGGTGTCTTTGAACAAAAGCACACATAGAACAAGATTATGTATTGATCAGTTGACAAAAGTATTGTGAGCAGAGACTCGCAGGAACCCAACCCTGTATTTCCCCCAATAGTGGTTCAGTGTTCGATAATGGAGTGTGCACGGTGACTTTAGAGACATGACTACTGTCAACAGGAATCGACTGCATTCTAGAATTCAGACATCTGCACGAATCCTTCAAGTGAATCCATATGGAAGTATAGCTGCATACAATCTTTATAATTTTACCAGATTAAAATGTTTTAAGTTATAATCCAGTTATGGGAGGCAGTAATCAGAAACAAATACAGAGGAAGCATCAACAATTGACATCCTCTTTTTTCAGGTTTATGTTTTTTTCCAGCTGAAAATTGCTCCTCACTGATACTCTGGACTAGACTGGGTATGACTGACCCAGTCCTACAGTTACCTTAATTAAGAAAGAGATGAACACACATTTGTGATTAATAGGACATTACCGTGGCACTATGCCAGCAAACTTTTAAAAACAGCCTAATTGAAACATAATTTACATAAAATGTACCCATTTAAAGTACACAATGCAATAGTTCTGGTAAATTCACAGACTTGTGCAACTATCACACCAAAAATGAGCTCCTTACCCATTTCTCCCCAATCCCCAGCCTTAGGCTTAATCTTTCTGTCTCTATAGATTTGCCTATTCTGGACTTTTCATATAAATGGTATTATACAGTATGTGGTCTTATGGGATTGTCTTCTTTCACTTAGCACATCTTCAGAGTTAATTTCTCTTGGATGTATACCTGCGGAGTTTCTTGATCATATAGTAATTCTGTGCTTTACCTTTTGAGGAAAACTGCCAGATTGCTTTCCAAAGCAGCTGTGTCATTTTACATCCTCAGCAGCAATATATGAAGGTTTCAGTTTCTGCACACCTTGGCAATGCTCTTGTCTCTTTGATTAAAGCCATCCTAGTGGGTGGGAAGCGGCATTTCGTCGTATTTTTGATTTGCACCTCCCTGTTCAATAATGATGTTAAGCATCTTTTCTTGTCTTTATTGGCCATGGTGTATATTCTTCGGAGAATGTCTATCCAGATCCTTTGGCCATTTTAAAATCAGGTTATTTGTCTTTTTATGGTTCAGTTGTAAGAGTTCTTTATATATTCTGAATACCAGTCTCATAAAACATAGGCCTTGAAAATATTTCCTCCTCTTGTGTGCCATCACTCTCTTGATGGCACCCTTTGAAGCATAACATTTTCTCATTTTGATGAAGTCCAATTTATCTATTTTTCTCTTTTCCCTGGTGCTTCTGGGCTTCTATCTAAGAAGGCTTTGCCTAACTCAAGATCACAAAATTTAACCCGTTTTGAAGTTTTATGGTTTTAGTTTGTGCATTTAGGTCTGTGATCCATTTCAGTAGATCTTCCTTATGGGAGGAGAATAGAAAAATAGATGTAAAATTAGGACCCGATATTTGGAAGTTTAACATGCTCAGCCTTTTCCCTTGGACAGGGTAAGTGGTACCTGCAGTGACAAACCAGGACATAGACTTTTGCCCCATCACTGGGGTCCACACCTGGGGAAAAGGATGCGTTGGGGTTCTCTAGCATACTTTCTCCTCCAGCATCATCTCATTTCTCCCAGTCTCCTCTTTACAGCTCACTAGCACTCCATACATTTGTTCAAATCACAAAGTTTCTAACCACTTTACCAGGGTAGGGACTATTTTCCATTGTTTCAAATAGCTTAATGAAGAGGCCAACTCAACGCTCAAAGGCATGTGTTATTTGACCTGAAAAGCATTTTTTGTGAATTCAAATTAGTTGCGCTTAAAAATATAGATTTCAAATAATCTAGATTTGCAACTTCCCTTGAAAAACTGGAAAATCTGGCTATTCTGGGCTCAAAATCCCACCAAGTAGAAATAGGCTGGAACTAAGCAATGGTTGGCCCAAGTACAAATTCCCTCAACTCCCTAGAAGATTCTTGGGCTCGTTAGTACTGTGTTGTCTTAGCAATAGTTTATGGGGTCCACTTTACCATACTCAGCACCTTTAGCCCCTCATCTTACACAATCTCTTTCCATTGTCCAATCTTGAGTTATCACCTTTTGAAAATTGAAGAAAAGTTCCTCCTGCCTTGGGTCCTGGATACGTATACAATCTTGGGGGCTTCCGGCCCAACTCTGCATGTAGGGTTCTCCTGGGGTCCTAGAAATTGCTCTGTACCTTGTTGCGAATGGTATTCACATAAATGTATGAATATGTAAAAATTAATCAAGCTATACATTTAAGATGTGTGCACTTTACTGTATATTATACCTCAATAAAAAATAAAAGAGAAAGAATGGGCAGTCTCCCGCCAGACATTGTATGTCTATCTATGACGCCTGGAACTGTAGGGGTCGTCTATCTTGGACTAGGATGTAAGACACCCAAATTGGACAATTTGCTGAAAACGGCAGAGCAGAGAAAGACTTCTGTGACGTCCCTGAGAGTGCTAAACCGACGTCGGAGCCATTCTTCACGTGAACCTACTATTGAAATAATTTTTTTTCATACACTGTATCAGCTCTCAGCCATCCCAGTGTGGAATCAGACAAAACGCTTCTTGACGGCAAGATACAGCCCACAAAGTGCAGTTAATAGGACTCAAGTTCACATGTGCATACAGTTTAATCACATCTTTGAACAAGGATTTTACCATAAATTAGTAAGAAATTGAATGTAAAAGAAATACAGGTAAACATATGTTAAGTACTAAGTTATTTAAAAATCCAAAAATCTAAGTCAGACTTTATTGCAAAAGATTAAATTCACTGGTCACTGTAAAAAAGAAATAACCATTCCAGTTCATAGAATTGAAATTCTTTATTGATAAACATTTATACCAGAATTAGAAATGTCAGTAGAAAAATAAAAATTTAAATTATTTTCTATTGTACAAAGATTTGATCATTTTGACTAGAGCAGTTAGTGAAATAATCTAATACAAAAGTTAAGCTGATTTTAGTCACAACCAGCCTAACAGAGTGCACAAAAAAGAAATGCACATACACAAAACTTGCTGCGTGTGGATAGCTAATGGCATGAGGGCTTCACATTCCAGGAAATGGTGTTGTAGGGAAGGTTGGTATGCACTGCAGTTGTAGTAAGAACTTAATTCACACCAGACACTGAAATCAAAAGCCAATATACAATTTAAAATTTAAAAAACATAAGGAGTGGTTTAATTATTTGCATCAGCTTTCTCTCACTGGTTTAAACATTTCCTAAGAAGTAATGTTTTACTGTAAAATTTAAAAATGAGTTGAGAGCACAAAGAGACATCCTTCTCGTGGAATATTCACTACACATTTTATATGGACTTGTCTTCACAAAATACCTTCATCCCCAAACCCCCATATTAAAGAATGAAGCTTTAATGATTGGGAGCTGCCTCTCTCCCCTGCATAAAAAAAAAAAATTGGGGGAAAAAAAATAGGAAAAGTGGATGTCCAGCTGGGAAGGGGGGGGCAGTGCATAGGCCCTAAGAAAGCAGGTTGTTGGCAAAAATTCTTAAAAACTATAGTAAAATAAAATGTTCAACACATATGCCAGTATTTTTCCATCTGAGTGACCACCCCCAAATAATTGTGTATTTGAGAAATTAAAAAACAAAAAACCCAAGGGGCACTAGATATATTGTTTATCAGTCAAATAGTTTCTCCTTAAAAAACATTTCAAGCTACAAAGCTCCATGTATATAAAGGTCTATATAAATTTATTCACAGGAGAATGTTCACATACTTGGATGGATGAAATACTCAATAATTTGAAGACAGATCTTATATTTGAAGTTTTTAAAAAGAGTGGATAATCAATGTATAGCAAAGAAACAGATGGAAACAAAAACACCTTTCAAAATGCATTAATTTTTGTGTCTTGGCTCTAATAACCAAATATTTAAATAATCGATCAATATGTTCAAAAATTAGTATTCAGGGGGAGGGGCCTAACAACCACAGGCCCATATGTTCAATTTGAAAAATTCTATCCAAAAGAATGTTTTAGATGAGAATTCTAATAAAAGGCATACTTCAAGAGAAATGATTAAAATCATTTTCTGTAACAAAGGATATAATGTCCCAAATTTCTTAAACTGAAGGGCTACTTTGCAAAAATCACAGCTCCTTGAACAGAAAAATGGGACTCTTATTTAAAGACGTAGGGGCACTTGGCTGGCTCAGCCAGTGGAGCATGTGACACTTGATCTTGGGGTTGTGAGTTTGAGCCTCACGCTGGGTACAGAGATAACTTAAAATCTTGGGGCACCTGAATGGCTCAGTTGGTTAAGCGTCTGCCTTCGGTTCAGGTCCTGATCTCAGGGTTCTGGGTTTGAATTCCATGTTGTCATCAGGCTCCCTGCTCAGCGGGGAGTCTGCTTTTCCCTCTGCCCCTCCCCCTGCTCATGCTCTCTCTGTCTCTCTGAAATAAATAAAATCTTTAAAAAAAAATCTTAGGGGCACCTGGGTGGCTTAGTCGTTAAGCATCTGCTTTAGGCTCAGGTCATGGTCCCAGGGTCCCGGGATCAAGTCCCGCATTGGGCTCCCTGCTCCGTGGGAAGCCTGCTTCTCCCTCTCCCACTCCCCGTGCTTGTGTTCCCTCTCTCACTGTCTCTTTCTCTCTCTCTCTGTCAAATAAATAAATAAAATCTTTAAAAAAAAATCTTAAAAGACAAGACTTAAAATTTGCAAGATAGAAAGATTTGCACATTGGAGAGAAACTTCTTGGGGAATTTGTAAAAACATTTGCCAGCATTCCAAGTCTACTTGTAATTTTCCACCTATTCTGAGCATATGTCACTGTAATTTTGAAAAGTGGTCTAATGGCCTCTGAGTTAAAACAAAATAGCCAATTAAGTTCTGTGCTCTCTCTGTAATTCTTCCTCTTTGACTTTCCCTGGTAAGTTGGTCCTTCTGGCTATTTTTAATCAGAAGCCAGAGGACATATTGCTTTAAATGGAATAGATATGTTTGTGTGTACATAACCTCACGGGCTGTTAGCCTTACTGTCACAATGAAAACTTTCCTTTAAAAACATCAGATTTAATGATCAGAAACTATTCTGAACACAGAGAACAACGGCTATATTCCATTTAACACAGCTGAAGTGGTAAGGATCAAGCTCGACACTTAATTTTTGCAATCCTTTCTCTTTTGAAGGTCACAGTTTTCAGGCCTTTTAATGAAAGAGAAAGGCAGTAGAAGAAAAATTAAGATAGCTAAAATTGGGTTTAAAAAACTCGATGTTTAATTCTCTGGAAGGACATACATTCTCTTGAAGGGAAATGTAAAGTGGAAGCTTACCTGAAAATTAAACTTTAGGCACTTTCTGGGAGTGACACCCAATACTGTAACAGTGGTGACCATATTAAGACTAAGAAATGAATAACCACCAACTCTAGTTTAAGCTGCATTTCTACAATTTCAACCAAAGTCACCAAGAAAAACTATGACAATGCTAAAAAAAATTTTTTTTGGTACCTCAATGTCCAAAGAGCATCCTAACCAATCTGGCTTAAAATTTTGAACTCAAGCTATTTAATAGGGTATGTTTCCAATTAAAGTAAACAAAATCAATAGAATGAAAGTGATGGGAAAGGGATGTAGGAATTCTAGAGGGGAAAAAAGCCTCAATTAGCTAGCTTATTTTGATATAATGTACAAAACAACAAATTCACATCTCTTAAAATATTATTAAGTAATCAGAGGTCAAGGTAGTTATCCAGAAAATGTCACATCATCTTCTTTTTCTTTCAACAGTGGAACTGAAGGCACTACTTGTGTTGTAGGATTTTTTTCCTGTTACATTTCCACAAATTTGTTCTCAAAGCTCTACTGAACCAAAACCTAGTTGGCACTTACTGTCATGAAGATGCAGTGAAAGAAGAGTCTGCCAAATTTTAATCAAGATTAGATTAGATAAGATTTTAGTACAGCATACTCTGCTCAGAAAAAAAACCAGTATTTTTCATGGTTTCTCTGAAATACGCAACATTGCATTTTCTCACAGAATACTGTAGATTTCGGGGTGAAGGACGTCAACCCAGAAGGGCTGTTGACCTAGCGTGGGTAAAGGTGCACTTGTAAAACTGCTTAAATTAAATCCAAAAAAAAAAAAAAAAAAAAGTGCTAAGAAACTTGATTTGTTTTGGTTGAGGACAACAGGAGTCCAGAAAGATCTTCAGTTCCTAGAGCTTCAAACTGAAGAAAGGGCTGAGATGTCATTTTTCACATGCTGCTTCATCCAAGTTTCTTCCACCTGAAGAAGTAAGAACACACTGCATTCCATAATGTATTCTTTTTGTGAGGAGCCTGTCAAACTTAGGTTCAACATCATGGCCTACAGGTGTCCGCTAGAGAGTGGCTAAAATCCGTAAGAAGGAGACCACCACTACGCAAAATGTCTGTCCGGTGCCCAAGGTGAGGGCTTCCAATGGGATCATGTCCTTCCCTGCTGCTCGGTATACTCCAGCGATTGCAGCACCTGGTCAAAAAAAGGGTGTTAAAAAAAGAATCAAGGTTAACATAATCAGGAAAATACAGCACTTAAAATCCTACTCTATGTAGAATGTTCTAGATTTTTTACATTAAAATTTAAATATTACAGAAATGTTTTGTTTTCCCTATACTTTTTTGCTGCCTACTCTAGGTTTTAAGGATTCCCCATACAACTTACAAATCACTGATTAGTTCTTTTAGATGGTGAAAAGGGAGTCCTTAAAACTGGGTCTCCTAGATTTACTCAGTAAAATAATCTGGAAGTCATCACCAAAATCATGAAGATATACCAACTTCCCCATGACCTGATTACAAACTCAAAAACATCTCTTATTTGCCATGCTTAGCATTTAACAGGTACCTAAAAAAAACTTGGCAATAAACGCCAACAAAACTTGTGTGTGAGACTAAGCAAGAAATATTTCAGAAGCCACAGGGAATCCTCATTCCACCTTCTACGGTACTCAGAGCTCCCCACCCAAAGTGGATAGAGGAGGGAGCAGAGGATGGGAAAAGGAGAGGATGACTCTACGCTTACGAAGTTGTTATTAATTCAAAGGGCATGAGGGGAGAGATCCTAAGGGGATCCTTTCTGTTCCCCATATCACTAATCTTTTTTATTATATTAGTCACCACAACTTCCTAGAAACTGAGTAAACCAAACAAACACAAACATCTTAATCTCCCTAGAAACCCATATAAATTGCTACAGGGACTCAGTATTGTACCAAGAAAGCCAAGATTTCATTAGTTGGACAAGAATAGATCCAAAGTTCCCAGATGACCCTCCTCTCAAAAACTGTTCCAAAAAGAATCCTCTTTGGTCAGTGTGTTCATTCTTGCAAATATTTGTTTACCTCTATGTCTGATAAGGTATGATCCCTATTCTCATTAATGCTCAGAATCAAGCTGAGACACAGAAGGAAAGCGTAAGCATGAAACAGATTTTAAATAATACAACATACAGCATCTCAATCAAATGTCTACACATTTTATACATGGGATATGAGGGCATATTTACATATTTTAAGAAAGAGCAAATGAAGCAGTTTCTGTATTGGCTGCCTGGAGTATCTGTGACTTGGAGATGCCCACCTCCAGTGGCTCCGCACACATATCGTGTCACTAACATGCGCAAGGCACCTGTTTCACTGGGCCCCTCATAAGTTAGCTCCAAAAACAATGGATTGCGTAGAAAGAAGCTTAAGAAACTTGAAATAGGCCCCAAAGTGGGGTTTGGATGATGAGGTAGGGAAGAAAGGGAAAAGCAGACCAGGGGGAGCAGCACAATGGGAAATAGACTCTATTCACACCGGAGTCTTAAAAATAGAATAGACACACTTATTGCACAGTTCCCAAGTGTTAGGTATTATGCTAAGTTCTTTAATAAACATTTCCTTGTATCATCACACAGCCTCAGAGGTGGGTAGCATTATTCTTATTTTACTGAGGAAAAATCTGAGACAGGTCCTAGGAGCCAGGAATCCAATAAGAAAACTGGAGCAGAAGGTCTCTAAAGAGCAGCTATAGGAGATACAGTTAAAAATACTATATAAAGCCAGTTATGGAAACACCTTTATGCAGACAGGAGAAAAGGGGCCTCCTCTTCTTATTACCACAAATGTTTCATCACCTACAGAACACACAGAAATGAGGCCACTTTGTCCCCCAAAAAAACTCAAGTCAAAGAAAGGGACAGTTCTGCTTAGAGCTCAAGGCTTAAATACACACACACACACACACACACAAATTAGTAGGAATGTTATGTTTCTAATTTTTAAGCATATATTTATGTTGACACATACACCTAGAAAAAAAGTTTGAAAGCACATACCAAAATGCAAATTGCGGTTTTCACTTAGAGATGTGATAATGGAGTGTTTTTAGCTTTGCTTTCTTATAATTTTTAATTTATATAAAATAGAGATGATATTTGCACTTAATCGTGCGCTTAAAACTGATTTAAACTTATTCTCATCTTTGTGACATGAGCAAAAGCCAAAAAATAAAAAAAAAGTAAAAATAATTTATAATTTGTTATTCCAATTCTCATTCAGAAAGCTGTGAGAGAGGGCGCCTGGGTGGCTCAGTCAGTTAAGTGTCTGCCTTCAGCTCAGGTCGTGATCCCAGGGCCCTGGGATCGAGTCCCGCATCGGGCTCCTTGCTGCGGGGAGCCTGCTTCTCCCTCTGCCTGCCACTCCCCTCTTTGTACTCCTCCCTCTCTCTCTGACAAATAAATAAAATCTTTAAAAAAAAAAAAAGTTCTGAGAGGGGGGAAAAAATAACCAGAAGACAAATCAGGTACTTTCCTAAACAAGAATTCTTGTCATCAGAATTAGTCTTCCACCCTTAAAGTACCCGCCCCTGAGTGAGCAGCACTAACTCAGCAACAATCTTGCGATGCCACCAGTCAATTGATCGCTGACAAGAAAGAAGCAGTGGCTTCCAAAAAGATACACAGCTTCTCTTAGTAGAGACCTATCTCATAAAACCTCACCTGGCTTATCTGAAAGATAGGAGAAAATACAACCTAGGAAGTCAAAGATGTTAGCCAAACAATGGGAAGGGGGGGGGGGCGTAAGAGGTCAGAAAAAAACAATACATTAAACGAGAGGCCCAGGGTGAAAAGCCACTCTTTTTTTTCTTCATTTCACTCAGACACGTTTCTAAAGTGGGTCCTGAAATTAAGTGACTAGTCATATGAACGGTTCGACTGGTATCATAATGTCTAACATACTTGTCAAGATTCCAGCAGTAATTGGTCCCACGATGCCCATCAACAGGATGCTTACAGACATGAACCTACCATATTTGTGATGTCTGAGGGTGAAGAGGGCCAGTAATCCAGCAGGGACATGGAAGAAGAGAGAGGACACCAGTGCCCACAGGAACACACCATACCACATCTCTGCAAGGAAAAGCAAACAGAGGGCGCAAGTCGCCGACTTTCCTGGTACAGTGATTACCAGGGGCTAGTCATTTTATCCGCTTATTTCATTTTCAAAGCCACCCAGGTGCAGTGTAGGCTCATCAGTCAAACATCCAAACACTGATGGTTCTAGAGGCATCAGCAAACTGAGGCCCGCAGGCCACCGGCAGGTTTTGTACGTCGTAAACTCTTCCTGGAACTCAGCCATGATCCTTAAGTCTGGCCTATTGCTATTTCAAGCTACAAGAGCAAAGCTGAAACAGCACACGGCCTGCAGAGCCTTAAATATTTACTATCTGGCCGCTTCCAGAACAAGGTCGTCAACCTCTAAAATGGCCAATCATGTTACGTCTTCTCAAATGAAAAAGCTATACAATTTTATTCATTCAACAATCATTTCAAGACAATGCAGTATCAGGCCATTGCCCCTCAGCATAGCAAAGCTCTTTAAGATATTAAATAAATACCAAAAAACAGAAATGTCTTGGCTTAGAGACAAATGGCAAATGAGGGCCAGGATGGAGGAGCTGGTTCCTATGGAGAATGTCTAGTTAACTTGTAAGATGACTGCAATTCAAGCAACATTAAAATATTTGATAACCAACTATGTCTAAAAACCTATGCGTGAGCCCCCTCGGGAAATAGAAAACAGGAGATACCATCCTGCGTAGTGACTTTGCAATCTGGTAAACAGCAGATGAAGCAATTTCCTCCACCGAGCCCAGGCAAGGCTTTGAAATTCACAAAATAGCCCTTTAGCTACCCACATGGATACAATGAAGGTGTCACGTCAGATAAAATCCGTTGTCCTTTGCGGGCTAGAAGCAGGTGAGTAACAGGTAATTTCAGAATTCAGTCAACAGCTTAACTCAGCAATACTGACACCTGGACCAGTCAACCCTTTGTTGTGGGGGACTGGCCTGTGCACTGCAGGACACGGGGTAGTAGCCCTGGCCTCTGCCCTCTACTGTAGGTCAGTAGCACCCTCTCCCCAGTTCTGACAACCAAAAATATTTCCAGACTTTGCCAAATGTCCTGGTGGGGGTGGGGGGCTGGGGCTGGGGTCAAAAATCGCCTTGATTAAAAACCAGCGGTCTGACTGAAGCAGAGGGTCTGTAAAACTAAAAGCAGTTAAAACAACAAAGATAGGGGCACCTGACTGGCTCGGTCGGTAGAGCATGAGACTCTTGAGTTCAGGGTCATGAGTTCAAGCCCCACATTGGGAATGGAGCCTACTTGAAAAAAAAAAAACCTACAAAGACAGATGGGGTCATGTTACGGTGGGTTTTGAAGGTCAGACTAAAAACTTCAACGTGAGGGGCGCCTGGGTGGCTCAGTCGTTGGGCGTCTGCCTTCGGCTCGGGTCATGGTCCCAGGATCCTGGGATCGAGCCCCGCATTGGGCTCCCTGCTCCGCGGAAGCCTGCTTCTCCCTCTCCCACTCCCCCTGCTTGTGTTCCCTCTCTCGCTGTGTCTCTCTCTGTCAAATAAATAAAATCTTTAAAAATAAATAAATAAATACTTCAACGTGAAAACCCCAGAAGCACCATTAAAGGCTTTGAGCAGTAAAAGGTTGTCAGGACATTATTTCACAGGTCCTACCTTACACTCCCAGTAGGAATACAAACTAGAAAACCTTTCTGGAGGGTAATTTAGAAGTGTGTATCCAAAAAAGTCAAGTGTGCATGCCCTTGGCCACAGCGACCTCACTTCCAGGAATATCCCAGGAACACCACCTATAGGAATACACATGCGGGCAAGGGCAGAGGTGCGAGGGTTCCGGCAGCTCTGTCTGTGATGGCAAAGACCAGATACCACGTGCGTGTCCGTAAACGGAAGACTTATCAAACACATTTTGGTGCACATAATGTAACATTACACAATCCCATAAAAACATGGGCTAGATCTTTATATACTGAGGGGATTAAGATGCCCAAGCCATCTTGGGAAGTAAAAACAAACAAACAAAAGCAGGTTGCAGAATAGTATATAGAAGATCCTGTTTTTGTAAAACAAAAGAAACAATGTGTGTATAAATAATTCTATGCACCCGGAGAAAAGTCTGGACATAGGTGTATTTAATAAATATTTATGACATGGGCAGGCGTTGTTCTAAGTGCTTTATAAATCTTAACCGTGCAATCCTCTAACACAACACTATGAGGCACAGATCATGAATATCCCTGGCTCCTGGATGAGGAAACAGAGGCAGACGGAGGGAAGGAATGTGCTGGAGCCCACACTGATGGTGAGCCCCACAAGGCCAGCAGGAGGAGAGCCCGGCTGGAGCCCTATTGGAGCCTAGGTGGAGCCTGACACCCGAGGCCATGCCCTCATCCTCTATGCTGTACAGCAAGCAACAGCAAGCAACAGCAAAGTGTTATTTCTGGGGAGTGGGATAGGCTGGGGAAGGGCTAATGACCATTCACTTTTTACTCTGCTTTTTTTTTCTCTTTTTTTAAGTAGGCTCCATGCCCAGTGGGGGGCTTGAACTCACAATCTTGAGACCAAGACCTGAACCAAGATCAAGAGTGGGATGCTTAACCGACTGAGCCACTCAGGAGCCCCTACTTTGATTTTTTTTAAAAAAGCTTTTCTAGCTGCTTACTGGCTTTTACAAAATTATAATAAAAAGAAACTAGAAAAAGGGCGCCTGGGTGGCTCAGTTGGTTAAGCGACTGCCTTCGGCTCAGGTCATGATCCCAGAGTCCCGGGATCGAGTCCCACATCGGGGTCCCTGCTCGGCGGGGAGGCTGCTTCTCCCTCTAACCCTACCCCCTCTTGCGCTCTCTGTCTCACTCTCTCTCTCTCTCAAAGAAATAAATAAAATCTTTAAAAAAAAGAAACTAGAAAAAGAAAAAAAGAGCCTTTGTTTCTAAAAGAGCAGTTCAGGAAGGCTGATCTGATTGGAATGTTACAGAAACAATGAGGAGCACCAATCAGCCTGGGGACAGTGGAGAGCAGGAAGGGAAGGACCAGGGGCTTTGCTCAAAGCTGTCTCTGAGGCTGGACTTGAAGACGCTCTAAGAATTACCACTGTGGATGTCTTCTTTCCAGATCAATTTCTGAACTGTTGGGGGTGAGAGATTAGGAATGGAGGCCAAATCCCTCTAAGCCACCCTTGGCATGGTCACTGATGACTGTTCTAATTCTTCGCTCATTTTGACTCACATAAAGTTTCAATTAATACCTAAATTAGGACACCTAATTCAAGCTTTGGTTCCAAATGAAAGTATCAGGCATGCCCCATCTAGGGCTCAAGGCTTATTAAAAATAACAAATGACTAGGGGCGCCTGGCTGGCTCGGTTGGGTGTCTACCTTCGGCTCAGGTCATGATCTCGGGGGTCCGGGGATTGAGCCCCTCGTCGGGCTCCCTGTTCAGCTCACCAGGGAGCCTGTTTCTCCCTCTCCCTCTGCCCCCCTCCCTCCGCTCACGCTCTCTCTCTCAAATAAATAAATAAAACCTTTTTTAAAAAATAACAAACAACTGAGGTGTTTTGGCACTTTTGCTCTGGTGGAAAGCTATCGGATAGCTCTAAAAAATGTCAAACCATTTGTGAAATTTTTTTCTTTTTTTTTTAAGATTTTATTTATCTGACAGAGAGAGACACAGCAAGAGAGGGAACACAAGCAGTGGGAGTGGGAGAGGGAGAGGGAGAAGCAGGCTTCCTGCTGAGCGGGGAGCCCGATGCAGGGCTCGATCCCAGGACCCTGGGATCATGACCTGAGCCGAAGGCAGACGCTTAACGACTGAGCCACCCAGGCGTCCCGAAACTATTTTTTTTTTTCTGAACAGGATATATCTTCAGAATAATTTTATTACTGTCGAAACTGGTCTATTTGATGGCATTTGGCAAATTCTGCTAAACCAAGTTAGATCATGCAATACGGAGCATAAAGTGATTAAAGAGTAAGGTCCCAAGCTTAAAAATTAAATATGCATAATGTAAAAAACTAATATGTATAAAATATATAACTATATATATACACACTAATTAACTACTATCCCTCCTCCGTCAAAGAAAAAAACCACCTTTCCAGGCAATATGTTGATCAGAAATTGCAGGCAGGGTTCTGAATCCTCACGGTTTGAGCCCCATTCTCTCTGGAAATAAACCTGTTTACTACTGCAGCCTCCTTTCCAGCCTCGGGCTGGAGCTCCTCCTGCTTCCACAACCTAGGAAACTCGCCCTCCATGCTGGGCAGCAGCTCCCAGACGTTGCACCGTCTAGTGTCCCGATACTGCCCGTCCAATAAATGCGCACCGGCCAGAGCTGTGGTGCCCACAAATCCCTCCCGCCTGGGCAGCCTCTGTAGCACCCTGGCTCAGGGAGGGCAGCCTGTCTTCCCGGGCTAAGTCGCCTTCTATACCAGCCACTACTGGCTTGACCCCAGGCCACAGCCCGGCCCCATGCTGTTCCCTCCCAAAGCAGGAACCCCAACTCCAGTCCCACAGTCCTTACTAGCTACTCCCCGGGTCACACGCAGACTCTGCCCTCCATCCCACCACCTCGTCGGCAAAATGCTATGTGACACCAGGAACACCACTGTCCCAGGAGGGGACAATGGGATGCAAATCTGCCTCTGAGAACTCAGAGCAGTGGCCATCCTGCTGATGACCTGATACCACTCGTGGGCCCTGCTGGAGCTCCCCAAGCTTTAGAGGTGAACTGGGTAGCGAACTGGGAGGTGAGACACACCAACTTGATAACCTCCATGAAGGTGGGTCTGATAGGCCTGAGGCCTTATAAGAAGAGGAAGAGAGGTATCTCTCTCTCTCTCTCCCCCTGCCATGTGAGGACACAGTGAGAAGGCGACCCAAGAGGGCCCTCACTACAACACGGCCATGCTAGCACCTGGTCTTGGCCTTGCAGGCTCCGGAACTGTGAGAAAATAAGGTTCTATTATTTAAACCACTCAACCTAGGGCATTTAGTTATAGCAGCCGAAGCAGACTAAGACACCAACACTCACTCCCAA